GAGGTCAATTGTAAAATCCAATTGCCTATCTGGTGGCGCGCCAGGCAAGTCATTAGGAAATACATCAATGAAATCTCGTACAACCAGCACATTACAAATCGTAAGCTCCGAATGTTGAGTTCCATGTATACTCACTAGAAATCCTTGACAGAATCTTTTCTTTAACATCTTTTCTGCTTTCATGGCCGACAAGATTCGCTGTAAAGACTTAACTTGTACCGCGAAAAATCGAAATTCATCCTCCCCAGGCCTTTTCAAAACTACTTCCTTTTCAAAACATCGAATGGTTGCGTGATTGCTTCCCAACCAGTCCATTCCTAGAATAACGTCAAAGTCTTTCATGTCTAGGAGGTGTAGATCAGCTACAAATTCTTTTCCTTCCATTACTAATTTTACCGCCCTAGCGATCTGATTGGTATTCAAAATTCTACCAGATGGAATAGAAATTTCTAGAACACTATCAGATTTTTCACATGCAGTACGTGATTTAGCAATAAATGCGGTGGAGATAAATGAATGAGTAGCTCCGGAGTCTATAAGAACATATGCAGGTAGTTCAGATATTGATAAAATACCTGCCATTACATTTGGATCCTCTGTTGCCTCTTCCCGGGTTAAAGCAAAGACTTTGGCTTTCACTTTCCTTCCCTGTTCATTATCCTTCTTAGGTGGGTATGCCTTGCAATCCGAAGCAAAATGACCTTCTTGGCCATATCGATAGCACACATTTTTCCCAAACCAGCACTCCCCTCCATGGGCCTTATTGCACTTTGGGCATCGTGGAGTAACTTTATTTGGTTTACTTGACCCTGATTCTGATCTTATATTGGACTTCTTAAATTGTCCCAATCCCTTCCCTTTATTCGATCCATTCCACTTTCGTTTCCCATATGACTCATTATTCTTCTCAGTCATCCGATCCATTTCTAGACGATCATAAATTGACTGTGCTCTTTGAAGTACTTCACTATATGTGGTCGTATGGTGAGATGCCATGATTCCTCCAATCTCTGGACGCAGGCCTAATTCGAACCTTCTAGCCTTCTTTGGCTCAGTATCGACAAGATGTGTAGCATACCTAGAAAGTTGTTCAAACTTCCTTTCATACTCATCAAGCAACATATTTCCTTGTTTCAGCTGTAGGAACTCTGCCTCTCTCCGATCCCTCAGCGATTGAGGAAAGTATTTTGTCATTACCTCTTCCTTGAACTGTGCCCAAGTCATAGCACATGATATAAATATAAAAAATAGCATAACATACCAACATTTCTTAGGAATTTCTTAAGAATCCCCATATCCCGTAGGATTTAATTTCTTTTCTTTGA